CTTTCCAAATTTTAGTCACTGTTCTCCTTCTGGTGTATTTTAATGTTTTTACAATGTTTTCTTGATGTTTCATGTTCTTTGCCAGTGGAAAAAGAATTTCCATTTTACCTGTGTTTTAATGGACAAATAAAGTTTGATTTGATTTGATTTGATCTTAAATTTTTACACACTTAATCACATACTAATTGTTTTAGATTTCACATTTTTAATAATTTTCCTAGAGTTTGGGACAAACTTTCCATTGATGTCCGAGATGAACTTGTCTTTGGAATTGGTTCTTTTATGCTAAGCAATAATTCTATTTTAATATTTCATATTTTGCATCTTGGACCATTTTAACTTTAATGTTTTTGCTGAAATTCTTGTTTATCTATTTTTATTGTATCTGTTAATTGCAATGATATCAGTTTTTATATTTTAATAGTTTTATGAAATTTTATGAAGAATTGTTTACCTTGTTGCTTTAAATTTGTTGACATTTTAACATTGACTCAGACTGTATTTAAGATAACATTTTTAATGCATCATCTGAATATTTTAAATGCCTTTTAAATTATGCTCTTTTTATAGATCTTTTGATCTTTGATCTATTTGGAATTTTATATTGTCTGCTTTTGTTTTTTTGTCAAAGGGCCTCCACTCGACAGTGATTGTAGCCTGGTTCTCACGAGAGCCTTATTATCCGGATCGGGAGCTAACCGTTAGCAGCTGTGTGAGAACGCCCGATCGGTTAGCGTTAACCGTTAGCGGTATCCAGATACGCTAACGGTTAGCAAGCGCTATCGGTTAGCAAGTTGAGGGTGTTTCTATCATCAACCAATCACTCGTACGCGTTTACAATTTCCAGTTTCTTATTGGCCATCATATTGTTGATATCCGGATCAGGATTTTCTCACATGGACGCACAACAGCTAACGGTTATCAGGATCCGGATCCTGCTAACCGTTAGCTGCCGTGTGAGAACATAGCCTAAGTTTACATGTGGGGTGTCCTGTCTCATGTTTTTTTCTTGTGCTTGTGTGGTTGTTCTTTACTGTTTCAGTTTTTGTGCATTTTAATGTTTGGGACAAATAAATGAAAAGAAATGGATATATTTGGATAAATTGCCTTGCCTAGGATACAAGTGAAATGCAGACTGAAGATTCAATACCACAACCTTAACGTTAAGCGACCAAATGAAACCACAACCGATATGCCTACTGCTCCCACATGATCCAAACATTTAAACCTCCGAGCCACATGTATGTTTATGCTGTTGATTTGAATAACACTTGCTATTATTTTAATTTACAGGAACCATAAAAGAATCAAACTTGCTCTACAGTTAAATAGTGCTTATCTGGAGAATAATTTTGTAAAGTTTACACGGTTGAGTGAACAGTGTAATTACATAGAGAGCTGTATTCTACACAGATATCGTACTTCGTTTTTAATGTAAGTCTTCAATTGAGTGTTCCAAATGGTCAGCTTCTGCTGGATGGTTCACCCTCATTTAATTTTAATAAAATAAATTAATAAATATAATATGGTGGCTCAAAGAGAAAACAAATTAATAAGTATTTTAAAAAGGAAATAATCCTTATTCTTGATTTACAAGACATTTTAATGGTGGCCCAATTTTAACAGACCTATTTGGAGACCCAACCCATGCAGTTTTCAAATTTAAGTGTAAAAGGATATAGAAATATACTGCTCAGTAAATTGGAATAAAGCAAATCCTTGCCGAGCCATGGGGCTCATAGGGCTGGAGCTTATTCCCAGTTTCCTAGATGAGAGTGTGATGCTCTCCCAAGGTGGGATACTAGTCCATCGCAGGTTATACTCAGCAATTTGCTGGTACCCATTGATGCAGCAATGTAGATAGAGTGCCTTGCTCAAAGACACAAGTGAAATGCATAGTGAACTCCGACCTCGATGTTGAGAAACCAAACCATTTCCTCTGCACCAAACCGCTTCCACAAATTTGAATAAAGAAAGTATATTTTAGTTTACCTCTTCACAGCAATGGTATTGAGCAATTTTCCATATTTTTATGTACTTTTATGTAGTGCTGATACAACATTATTACTGTTAACATTATTATTTTGTTTTAGTGTCATACTTTTTTATGAATCTGACGCTGTTATCTTTCAGCTCATCATTAGCTGTCATGAATGTGGCTTACCACAGCAAAGCTCTGACTTTCCCATCCTGTGTCCTATCAGAATGGCTTGGCTTTGACTCAACACAAGAAGCCAGTGCTTTCTGTAAGGAGTGTGGACTGACTATCAAAAGTGACTCTGTTTGCTTCATCAAAGGCTCATTGAAACCTCAGTCAAAAATGGTAAACTTATTCATTATTTATTTAATTTCTATATTATTTCTTATCCATCAGTATGATATATGTATAGTTGTTGATTCATGATAATGGTGTACACTAAAGAAAAAACATGGACTCAATAAAAAAAATTGGGATGGTAGCAGGAAATAGTTTTACAATGTGTCGCATTCGAGTACTGTATTTAATTCCACCCAAAAATACTGAGATGGTGTCCAGCAGAGATTTACCTTTTTATTTATTTTATCTATTATTATTTTTATCCATAGCCAACCCTTTCAATGCTATTTTTACAATAAATTTAACCACCATTTTGTTTAATCATGTTATTATTTTTATTGTTATTTTTCTTTCAGGCACACAAGAGAACATTATGTCACAAGTTAGTGGATAGTAAGTTAAAGAAGAATATGTCAATGTCCGATATCATTAAAGGTTTTGGATATGAAAGAAAAGAAAGGAGTGAAAAACCAATGCAAGATATGTGGGATTATGTAGATTGAAAAATAGCCAAAAAAAATCTTGATGAAGAGAACAAGAATAATACCAGTGGAGATGGTGAAAGTCCCAACCAAGGTGAGCCTGAGGCTTACCTACTCTCAAGCCACCAGCATTCCCAACTTGGCACCTTTGTGACCGCAAGAGATTGTGAGCAACTTAAGTATAGACCACATTCAAAAAAGGGTTAAGAACCAAGGGCATACACTACTTAAGGGGACAAAAATCTCCAAGTGATTGACACTGATTTCCAAACTGTCACTATGGTTGAGCAACAACAATTTTTTAACCTAATAATGATTAAAGAATGGTGGAATTAACGCTAGACATTATGAACATGGAGATCGTTTAATCTCTATTCTATCACTGTTCTTTCTTTCCTCAGTTGCAGGTAGTGCCTGAAGTGCAATGCATAAACTTTTAATAGAGACGTTTTGTTAAGTAAACAAAAAAAATCTGTACACAAGTATTATTTTTTTTTTATTACTGTTATTGCATATTGTTCATGTGTATAGTAAATGTACATATTTGGTTTGTAAATATTTCATTTAATTTATATAATGTTTTTGCCTCACAGATTATCTGCATAAAATTCTCTTTTTTAATGGTTTTGTTTTCAAGCATCAGGTGGTGAATGTAGATAAGAGTATTCTGGTTTTGAAAAAGTGTTAGTCATGCCTTTCTACCTTGTTTATTTAGGTATGCTTTTAACATATTTTGTAGTGTCTTTGTTAGTTCGTATACCTTTCAACTATGTTCAATTCCTTTATTGAAGACTAAATAAGTTTGTTGTATTTTGCATTTATTGTGTCTACCTGAAAGAAGGTAATGAATTTTCAGATTGTCAGGTTTATGTTAGACACTTTATAACAATGTTATACATATTTAAAGTTGTCTTTACTTTACTATAGAAAATGTGCATACGTTGGCACCCTACCCACTGGAAAAATTGTTCTGTCATTTCTAGCACCACTCATTTAACCCTGTCCATTTCCCTACTAAACTCTAGCACCATAAGACCTCCCCATGAAATACCTGTAGATACTCCACTGCATGTGCAACATGGTAGACCAGAACCCAAAATTTAGCATCATATTTTTAATTGTTTCTACAAGAGTTTCCTTGATGTTTGTCAGTTTTAAACTTCATCTTATGATGAATTATATATTATTGGTTTTCTTATACTGTACATGTAGTACATATTATTATTGCAAAAAGCTCTGTTTTGTTATAAGAAAGAGCAAAAAACTAATGAAATAACATGTTTGTAAAAATGGCGATCATTTAGATATTGCCTCATTGTTTTAGTGGGTGGTAGAGATTTTCTTGGAATATACTATTACTGGAGAGTGGTTGGCCAAAAAAAAATCTTGAATGGGAAGTATTGCAGCCGAACAGGCATGTACAGTCTAGAAATGGACAGTGACGCCTGTTCAGTGTACATCTCGTTTGTACTGTGGCCGCGCTTGCTGTGAACAGGGCGAGTTTTAGTTGCTATACTTTACTTAAATAAATGAGTCACTTTGCTCATAATGGAGTAAGCTTTATTATATTTTGTTCATGTGTTGCAAGAGTCAAAAGAATAACCCATTGCCAAAGCCCATTATCAAAAAATATATCGCAATATGTTAAGACTAATTAAACTAAATTAACGAAATCACTTAACATACACCTGAATTAGTTAAGAACACTTTGAATAAAAGGAATGATTATGTGATAATGAGGATGACGGTCGGGACAACAACGACGATGTTGAAGATGACGAACTACGATACGTTAAAATGGTCAATTCACATTTATATTTCTATTTTTAAAGGTTTTTTTTCTTGGTGGTGGTGGCAGTAACATAAGTATTCTAAGCCCATATGAAAATTATTACGATCAGAAAGTATACAGTACTTTACACTATCAATTGTACTAACCCTATTTATTTTAGTGACATCGCGTCGTTGCTACCGCAATGTTCCATTTAACTTCATTCAGTAAAACCTCAATCAGGAGAGGTAGGCCTACATGCAACACTTACCAACCAAGCATAAGCGCAAGACAATTAATGCCTACAAAAAATAAAATGCCTATGAAGTAACAAGCTATTTTTAAGAGTTATATTTGGTGTTGACCACAAGCATGCTATTTATAACCATCTCTCGGGTGCGAGATATTGATTTGACTACATGTAAATGGCAAGTTCACTCAATCAGAGACTGTTCTCATCCTGTATCCCCACGGTCACATCTAGAAACGAATGAATAATTGTTGCATCAAATCAAAACCGGCGTTTTTAATCATAAACACCTTTGTTAAGGGCCACACCAAGCAGGTGTTGGCTGTCAGACCTAGGATCGTAATTAATAAGTTTATACGCTTAATTCTACTTCCGAGAAGATGCTACAGATCGAGTCGCATGGCTTCAGATATAATTTACGCCTGAATTGCATCTGAATTTTAAGGTGATATTTTGGAATTGCAGTGGGTTATTGCAAAAAATAAATTAATCGAAGAAAGGCCTATCGTCGCTGCTCATCCAGACTCTCGTAGCTTTCAAACAACAGTTCCAAGCAGTTTTATCGTTTACAACTCACCGTTATTTAGTCATGTCCTCAACAAGTACGGGAGCCATGTTTAAATCTTTGAGGTAAGGACAATTAGGTAATTTTAGTCGATAGCATAAGATAAGATAAGCTTTATTGTCATATTCCAAACAAGTGAACTATGAAATTACAATTTAGATGCTTGATAAATAAAAAACGAACTTGCTAGCTACTAAAACAGAAAATACATTTAAGATTAATTACACATCGACTCATGAAAATAATAAATATAAAAAAATATTAATGTTAATTATTTGCACATACGTGACCAGTACTGTATTGCATTATCTGTGAAAGTTTGAGTTGTGTATAGCATTGCTAACAAAGGAATTTTTATACCGATTTGTTTTACACTTAACTGGGCGGAGTCTCCCAGAGTTATTTGCCACAAAATAGCTGTGTTAAGTGGATGTGAGGTATCCTTAATAATTGTCCCGCATCTTTGTTACATTCTCAAGGACTATCTATCGTCTTAACTATTATTTTACAAGCGTATTTTATTACATTATATGTTATATTCTGTCAAATTTGCAAACCATGCGACAAATTTAAAAGTCGTTACACTCTGAATTACACTAACAAAAAATAGCAGTAACGAAGGAAAAAGAGGCGTTGATTTGCCTTAGCAACGCTTATTTATTGAGCCTAACTACAGTAACTTTACCAACCTAAAGCCAATCGTCATTTCTAGATACCTCGCCCTTTTGAAAGAACGTTAAGCCGTCTGTCGTCTTACGCATGAAAACATTTTTTTAAAAGCTCCTTATATTATCGTTTAAAAACTTTATGCAATCAATTCTAATCTTCATTTGTGTCCTTATATGCAAATGCAGTTACGTATACCTTCAGATGGGACGTTTATTCATTGGTTCAGTGTATATTTGAATTATATATTTAGATATTTAGACCAATTATAATAGCGTATGACTGTCACATAATTACCTAGGCTAATGAAAAATATTTACTATCCCTACCGTTGATTTTTATCATTTTTAAGTTCTTTAATTTTTATGATGCCGAATGGTTAATAAAGTATCTGCCAATAATAGAGGCCTATTTCGATCAATCTGAATATTGACAATATACAGTACTGTACTCACAATATAGGATAAATTTTGCCAAGGGTTTTATTTGCAGTATTAACCATAATGAGACTAGTTATCGAGCTAATTCAAAGCCTGTAATTGAGAAACTGATGCGTTTGTTTACTCATGGCTTTTAGCACGTCAATAATATGTGTATAAGAATGAGTTAAATTAATTTGTTAATAATTACTTTACACTAGTACGTAACTTGAGTGCGCATTGCTGCCGAGAGGAGTGTGGTCGGTACGGTAAACAATGCTTGATCATTAGGCCGTCGACTCGTCCGAAAAAATAACTTAGTTTATAGAAGACTAATTCGCTCGAACAACAGACTGGAGTTATTTGTATAGGTCTATAATCAATCATCATAATTATAATTGTAGGTGAAGGGAATTTTAATGATTAGAGCAGAGCGAAATCTTTTAACAATTGATTGTGATTTCTTTACTTTGAAGGAATTTTTTACAGTTTTTGTTCTTGAACCCCGTCTTGAAGCAATATAGATCATAGATTGTTTCAAAATCTGTATGGAATACGGTACTGCAGTACTAATATTTATATTTCCCTTTCATTTATATCTCTCAAAAAGTATAAAAGACAAGAACAAACAGACACAATAAGAAACGACAAGAGAGAGGAAAATAAAAAAAAAGCGAACTTAATCAACTGGTTTCCCCAGTACATATAAAATATTACAATTATCAACAGTAAAGATAAAATATAAATCATTTGTCTGAAATTTAAAAAATTAATAATTTTAAACTTTGTATTAAACTACAGGAATTATGTAAAGGATTAAATGGGAGTCAGATGAAATCCACAAACAAAATGAAGCTCGAGATCTGCGGAATGAATTGAAATTAAACAAAAGATGGTTCCTGAGATCGCTGAGCAATTAAAAGCATTTGTTCAGGAGTATTGGTGAACAAAAACAAGATTATTGAGGTGCCGAATGTTAACCTTAATAAAGTTAAAGATAACAATTTAATATTTCCCCCAAAGAGAGCTAGCAATAAATGAAATACATAAATAAAAAAATCGATCCTCGACATGAATAAGCACCAAACAATTACAATGATGCGCATATGACAGACTGCCAAAATTACCTCTAAATGGAACATTAACATTAACAGGAAAACAGGCTCTTGACATACGTTGTTGGATTTGTTTGTTTTTTATTGGTTTGTTTTTGTTTTTGTTTTTGTTTTTTTTTTGCTTTTTTTTTTTTTAAATTAACTTATTAGATTATGATTCAACATGTATCGTATTCTTTGGGAGATATACAGCCGAATTTCAAAGTTTTAAGCTATTGGATTTTGCAATGATAAAAGATAGGCCTACCTCAATGTCATCACTATTAAAAGTTTTTTAAAGCATCTTTTTACAAGCTCTTCCTTGCACAGTTTGCAAATTGTACAAGGAAGAGCTTGCATAATTTGTAAATTGTGCAAACTTCTTCAATTGTGCACGATAGTAGCACTTTATTGACTAATTTAAATTATTGCACAAGCTTTCCGCAGTCAATACATACTCCAAGTATTGAAATACACGCCATCGTGTTGGGATTCAGTATTTCGACATTAATTATGTCATCATCAGGAATGATTTCCGGAGTCATTAAACTTTGTATGTCTTGATCATGCTTCCACGGGGGTCCTCATAAGCCTCTTGTCAAAAAGCGCTTTAAAAGACGCCATTATTATTATTTTATATTTAAAAAAAACTGCTTTAAACTTCTTTATAGGTGACTGCTATACATTTACCCTTACGGCCCTAAAACGGGACGACGGTCGAAGGTCGACTACCATCATCAGTGAAGAGGTATATTTGGTATACCAAAACGGACTTCGGTCATGTTCCAATTCCAGATCTATAATCAGTGGCGGATCCAGTAAACGGAAGGCTGAATATTCATAGATTCTTCTCACATAAAATATATGAATTCCCATTAAATGAAAAAAAAAATCACCATCAAAACACTAATTTCAATATGAATTGAATGAACAATCCTGTCTAGGAATTACGCCAGCAAAAAAAAATTGGTTCGTGTGGGAATCGAACACACAACCTCCAGGTTTGCTATCATTATCCACCATCAACTAAACTGCCTTAAAAAATTTTTTTTTTTAAATGGCTCGTGTGGGCATCGAACCCACGACCTTCAAAAAAAAAAAGGGAAAAAAAATTGCCCCGTGTGGGAATCGAACCCACGATCGCTGAGTTTACTACTCCTGATCCAGCATGACTAAACGGAGGGAGGTAAACCGCGGTCCCTAAGCCATAAATGCGATAAACCTAGTACCACACCAAGTACTAGTTAGTCAACTCTAATCCCCCTAGAAAAAATTCTTCGTATATATACTCTACAGGTTAATATTACGCATGGTCATGGTGTCAAAAAAAAATGGGCCGTGGGCCAAGAGGGCTTATTTTTTGTCTAAAAATGTATAATTAAATTTATAATCGATTTATGATTGTTACTATCTCCATAACTTACACACTTTTTTTTTAATAGACAAAAATGTTGGAAAAATTCATTATGCAAATTAGAAAAAAAAATAGACCAATCATGTTACGGGATTGAATGTATTGTACTCGTTGATGACGTCGCGAATTGCGAAATAACAACAAACAACAACCTTTCATGTCCCAGCCTGGGAACCAGTCAATTCGAGCGGATGCCACTTCGAGCGAAGGTCAGTTCGAGCGAATTTGTTTTCGAGCGGATGCTAGTTCGAGCGGAAGAAGATCCACTTGTGCGAACAACAACCTGTGCGAGTTATATACGAATTACTTTAAAATTGCTATTATTTCTATTTTTGAGCTAACAATTTGCTCAAGCTTTGCCTGGGAGGCAGGGG